AATCTTTTCTAAATTGTTTTTATGCTTACCAGAAATGTAAGAATTCCACAGCACCACATCCTTGCCTTTAGTTGTCAATGTTAAGGTTTAAAAAAATTATTTATGTATTATGTATTATGAGATAAAGTCTCATTGTGAATTTAAACTGCATTTTTTCCAAATACTATTGAGACCTCACACATTTCCTTATGCTTATTGGCCATTTGTGTTTTCTGTTTTGTGAAATACCTTGTTGTATGTTATCTATTTTGTTAATTGATTTCTACGTATGTCTTAGTTAATTTATTGCTATGCATGTGTATTCATATACTTATATATATTTATTGGCCACCCTGACACTTTGGACAATGGTCGTGCAGTCCCTACAAGGAAAAGTAAGGAAAGAGAAAGAGAAGAGGAAGGAAAGAAAAAGATGTCCATATAATTTGTAACAGTATGTTATGGCCTGCAGAAAACCTGCTAGAATTTTTATTGTAATTACATTGAATCTATAGACCAGTTAGGGGAGAATTAGTAGTCCTATAATATTGACTTTTCCAGTGAAGAACATGTTTATATCCTTAAATTCAGGTTTCAATGTGTTTCCCTATTTGTCTGCAATTTTCTACAGAAATAGGATAGAGGATTATCTCCCTAGTTTCATTATGGAATACATTAGATAATCGATATTCTAGCTTTGAAGCATCCTTGATTGTGATGCATTACCGTTCATTTTATATTACTGGTAAGTGTTAACTATGTTTTATACGGGCTTTTACTCTATATTCATGAGTGAGATTGTCTAACATTTCTTAAAAACAGCTGTATGGAAATATAATCCAGATATTGCATAACTTACCCATTTAAAGTCTATGAGACAATGGGTTTGGTATATTAGCTGAGCCACTCAAGCGATACTCTCATCAATTTTAGAACATTGTCGTTACCCCCCCCAAAAAACTAGCTACCCATTAGCAGAGTCTCCCCTCCCCTAGCCCCTTGGATCCACTCAATTAACAGATTTATAGAGGAAACTCCTTATACCTTTGTCAATGTATGCAGGAAGAAATCCATAATGTTAAGCTATGTTCTTAAAACAAATCCTCTAAAAAACTAGTCATCATCATCATCATCATCATCATCATCATCATCATCATCAGGCCATATTGTAATTCTATTAACTAATCTGTCTCTGACCTTAATGTCAAATATGGAAATGACTTGAGTGAATTACATTTAGATTAAATGGACCCAAAGGCCTAACATAGGGGAAAACCCTTTATGTTTCGATGCTGCTTTTGCCATATAAAAACATACTACATTTTGTGCTGCAAAGTATCTTTTTAACAAAGTTTATATTTTAAAATATGAAAAATAAGTTGATAAAATCTGCCTTAAAAACATCTATGAGAAAAACGTTAATAATATAGACAGGGAATAAATGATAATGTTTCCCTTACTAAAAATAATTGTCTCTTTCTTACTATTTTTATTTTAAAAAATATGATAAACTGATTGCCTTGTTAAAATAGCATAGCATTATCTAAAAATCCATTGACTAATAAGTAATTATATTATTTTAATCTTCACCACATTTCCTTCTAAAAAACAATTCACAGTTTTGACTAATCTCTTGTCTGAGAAACCATAACTGATCACCTATTAATTGCTAGGAATTCTGTTGAATCTTGGGAATTAAAAAATGTACCCAACATGGTACCTGCTCTCCAGGGGCTCACTTTAAATGGCAATACACAATAATAAAAATATTGAAATAAATTCTGTAAATAGAAGTACATACAACCAAGAGTGAGACACATGAGGAAGTTATTAATTTTGCCTGTGGAGTTCGTAAAAATGTTCATGGAAGGATGCAGGTAATATGTTAACTCAAGTAGAAGCATGCTAGGAGATCAAAGAAAAGAAAATGCCCACCAGAAGAAATAGTTAGAAAAGAGTCAGCTAGAATTTGTCAACTGGTCTTCTACATTATAAAATTTTTAACTGCAATAACACTTTATAACTAAAAATCAGATCTGGTTAGCTTTCTTATTTAATCACTTATTTCTATATGCCTGCAATTCAAATTTTTCAACACATTTAATGCCTTCTTTTACTCCTAACTCATCAGTCTTTAATGCCTGATTTACTTGAAAATGAATTAAATTCTCAGAAATGTTTCATGTTTTCAGTGTTTCAGTGTCAAATTTTTCATCGTTTTAAAAATTTGATATTTTATGATATTGTAGTATATAGTTCATAAATCTGATTTTTATGTTTTATTTTTATTGATATCATAACCCACATGCTTGGTTAATTTCATTTTACAATTGTCTGTGATAATATATAAATATAAATGAATCTTACCTGTTGTTTCAGGTTAGGCTCTCTAGAAATTAGACTCTGAAATTATCATGTAAGATATTTATTTGGGAATGCCGTAAGGATCCACACTCAAAAGAGAGGATGGAGACAAACTTTGGTAGAGAAAGAAGTTAAGCTGTGATTCAGACACAGCAAAGACCTCAGCCAACCCGAGTGAGCTTTGAAAGTGGGATGGCTCTTCAGGGTTGGTGTGAGTAAGGAGAAGAGGGCCAAGCCTCTATGCTCTTGCATCGACCAATCCTTGCTTGTAGGCTACTTCCAGAAAGGGACATGACAATAGATGAAGTGGCTTTCAAGTGAAGGCAATTCCCAAAGACATCTTCCAGTTGCTCTCCAGCAACTAGTGGAAATTAAGTCCTTCAATCTGGAGAACTGACTGCAACACAGGGTTGGGCAAAAGTAGGTTTACAGCTGAGAGTACACGAAACACAGAGTTTATTGTTTTATTAGTTGTTAATTATTGTATTATTTATCTGTACTGTCTTATTATTATTGTTATTTCATATCTTTACTTATGGTTTGTCTTTTAGGTAATGATGGCTGGTAATTTACGAGCAACAGTAAGCCTACTTTGACCATTCCTGTATAAGCCTTGTGCCTCTCAAGCACACATCTTGCTAACAACTGAGGTAGCATCTCCCCCATCATCTTGGTGAGTCACTTTTCTGCAAGAAAAGTAAAAGGGGAAGGTAAGCAGAACAGAGTAGATGGCCCACCAATGAAGTTGGGCTTGTGGCCATAACAAAGAATGATCTCATTCTTCTAGAATCTAACCTAGAGTCTCCTCACCTTCAGCTGAACCTCTGCTGCCTTGGTGGCTTGTGTGGTGGCACGATGCAGATCTTCATTCCTGTGCTCAGAGCCTTTACTCACCTAGCTCTTTGCAAATATTGAAATAGCAGCTTCTAAGTAAGTAAAATATTGGTTTACTAAGAAATTGAGAGAATGTAGTGAGTGTTAAGTGTTTGTGTACAGATAAGGTCTAAAACTAAAAATATATATATTGAAAAAATGTGATATAAAAATACTTTGAAACTCTGGAGAAAACTACCACATAAGTCAACTGTAATATCTGAGTGTTGTTCCTGAAGGACAGAACATGGGGAAGAAGGGAATGGTGGAGAACTGGAGGTTTGCTCTATAAACTTTAAGCATAACTGTTTTTAAATTGTGTACATATATTACCCTGATAAAAGTAAAAGTAAAAATTAGTAAAATATTATAAAAATGACTGGTCCTCATAATTTAAGAAAATTTACAAAGTTTTAAATATAAACAGAGAAAAACAGAACAGAAAATATTGAGGTTAAAAATGTATGTGTCAATTATATGCTTATATAATGTTGAAGCCAACCAGAGTCATATATTTTCATTACTGTAACAAAACTATAAAGCAAGCAAAATTACATAATTGACCCACAAGTGTGAGGATTCTCCTTTCAGTGTCCAATTCTACAATTATTTGAAAATGTGCTAATTAATTTATGTCTGGCCTCTAAACACCAGTATTACTGAAATCTACATAACATAAATTTAACTAAATGACCATACAACAGCTAGCAGCATTATCTCTACAATTATAAAATCATTTTTGAACATAATGAAGTATGCTGTTTTAGTCTTTTTCTCAAATTTTATTTAGAAAGTCCAGTGAAACAACATGGTATCACAGTTTAGAAATACTTTAATCTCACTATAATTTACCATTTTTAAAAATCTAGTAATTTTTGATTTTCAACAATAAAATTTATAAAAAATAATTTTACATTTATAAAATGAATCATTAGTTCACAATAAATTATTCATTTTTATTACATGAAAAAAGTTTTGTGCTATATAAAGAAATAACTTTATCAATATTTTGAAAATATCAGTTCCTCTCATCCAGCACTTTTGGAAGTTAAGTATACAAAAATATATTACAAATTCCCTGACCATAGTTATTAAAACAAGATTGTTGGTAATAATTCGTAAAAATAACTGTTTAGTAAATATATGCAGACAAGTTAAAGGGCTTACTAATATGGATTTGTTTTATATTTTAAAGTTTTTTTAATATCTTATAAGAGAGCAACACAAAAATAAGCAGAAATCTACAAATAATATTTGTGTTTATAAAAATCAAAACATTCTTATTCATGACATAGAGATAGCAAGGTAAATTTCCAAAAACAAATATAAGTTAAAAAAACAGTTCTCTTTCTCTCTCAAAGATTTCACAGTTGCACAGAGCTGCCAGCTATTGAAAAAATTTATTGATTCTATTAAATCAATGATAGCTTCTAAGTAATCATTTTCTACTTTCAGAGTTCAATTTCAATTTAAGAGCCAGTAAGTTAGTTAACATCTACTGAACCCCCAGGATAAGTGGGGGTTATAGAATCATAATCTTAGGAATTTTCCAAGGTCCTGAAAAAATCATGTTAATTAGTCTCTTACAACTTGAGATACTTCTTTATATCATTAATAATTATTCAACCAGTTGTTCCCTGTTTCAGCTAATAAATTATGAGAGAGAGAGAAAAATTGATTGATTTCTGGTTCACAAGGCAACCCATCATTAATTGTTTTTAAATAAGCTCCAGCCTTCAATGATATCAAATGGTTCAGGCCTCCAATGAACTGAACTCCTCTGTTCAGAATTAGACATTTAGTATATCCCTAGGTTGCTGGATTTTTGAAAATATGATAGTTAATGATTTGAATTTGTTTTTTGTTTACATGATAACCCAACTGGTGTAGCTTTTATTTTCTTTTATTTGTTAAAAAAATTTTTTAAGGGGTAAGACTCTTATTCTAAGTACAAAAGAACAAAAGTTATTATGCTACAACGATTTGACACTCACTGCTTACATGTAAATATGTGTAATAGGTAGCATAAGAGATAGCATTAGATCAGCGGTCAATTGCATATGTTTAGGAACCAAAGCAAGAAGCTCACATTTTTCATCCCACACCAAAAATATATTTATTCGCATGAAAGTCAACCAGACCTGGGCTTAAATGTGGCTCTCCTGCTCTTTAGTTTATGAACTTTGTTTACGTTACTTAAACACTCTAAACTAAAGATTCCTTTATTTTTAACAGAAAGATAATAATATCTCTCATTCAGGGTTGTTGTGAGGACAAAATGAGGCAACATATGTGTGATAGAAAGATGGCTAAATTGTTTCCCAATATCAGCCTCCCAGAGTTGTAATTTTGGTTCACATAAGGCTTCCTTCCTACTCTCCCAGTCTCCATGGAAGCTGGATGTGGGCATGTGCCAAGTTTTAGTCCGTGGAAACTTCCATATTGTTTTAGGGCGAGAAATAAACTTCTCTCTTGGTTGATACACTGTTTTAGGGATTTCTTTTTACAGTTTAGCCTGTAACTCATCTGCTAAAACTAACATCTTTAATGATAGCATACATCTTTAAATATAGTCAAATTTGAAAGAATATCCAGCCATTCTTGGAATGGCTATTTATATTTTTCTAAACTTGAGATAGGCATATTTAACTGTAATTGTTTTTCAAATATCTATGACTTATTCTGTAGCAACTCTGTGTTTTTTTTTCTAATTTGCTAGTTTAAAACTTACTAAAAACTTGGTTCATTGTATATTAATCTGAGATTTCTGATCTAATATTCCCAATCAAAAAAGAACACTTAGTTCTGCATGACATCATGATGAAGCAATTATTTACAGGTTTAAATTAATATTAAGGCAACAAATGAAAATAGTACATAAGATTCAATCACTTAAGGTACAGTGCTAGGGAAGTTGGAAAAATCATACGATACAAACACATCAAAACTCAAATAATACAGTGGTTGCAACTGAAGGTTTCAGACAATAGCAACAACAAATAAACTGAGCCTAAAAACAAGAAAATAAGTTACAATCTTACAACAGCACCACGAAGAAGCCTTGGCTAAGCGTTTGCCAAAAGCACTATCCTGAGATATTTCAAGACCAGTAATTTTTCACATTTATTCAGTGCTGTTCAGAAGTAAACATATCCTCACAATTGTTTTTGTTTGGAGAGAGGCTGGTGTGAAATAACCGAAGCTTGGTTTGCAGCTATTTTGTATTGTTCTTGTCCAGAGCCTTGTGGTGGAGAAGGGAGTGGGGTTTCAGGAGTTGCTAAAAAAGAATCAGAGAATTGTATGTGACGGCGACAGTCACCCTGACCCATCATCCCATTAAGGCCTGCATGACACCAACATGCCTTATTTTACATTGGATGTATTTTTAAAAGATCATATATAAAGTAACGGTTTATATAATACAGTATCAGCTCACTGACATACCAATGGAGATGTACTCCTACCATACCTCACCGAACAGATTTATAATGGACTAGATTATTGTTGAAAATCTTTAGAGTCCTTTAAAAGTGTTTTCTGCTTTTCTCAATAGCATTTGTGAGCATTTGACTGTCTCATACACTCAGCAGAAGAAAAATTAATGAAAAGAATGAACAGAATGCTAGTGTTTTTTCAAATCTTAGATCACAACTGTTATAAACTTTGCAATATAAAATGCACAAAAAATGAAATATATTTGATTTGCATTTCATTAACTCAAACATATTCGATGACATAAAAATAAAGGTAAGATACTTTTCAAGTACCTTGAAATCTATGTTGTAGTTAAGGCATTTGAAAAATGTCTTTTCAAAATTGTTCTATTATAATTGTGTTTGCCTGTCACTTCTTCATCAATGCAAAGAGCAAACCTAGTAATTAGAATATCTCATTGTCTAGAGCAGTATTTCCTCCTATTACAAACTTTAATCATATAAAATAGTCTAGGAGTTCTTACAATTTTTAAAAACACAGTATTTTAGTACTCATATTTATTATTCTACATATTTAACAGAAAAAAATTTGATGATCAGATTGAAGCCTTGCAAACTTTACATATATTTTTGTCCAAAAAAGTTTTTTAAAATTCTAGAAAAAATTTTTATACAAAACTGAGGACAGTGCCTTTTTGCTTGGTTTTCTTAAGTATGATAACTTTGGTATTTTTAAGAATGGATTAGCAATTACTTAGGAAAAACAGTTTTAGATAGTTTGATAAAAGAATAAACAAACTGCTTTAAAAATTATTTCTAGATATTTAGGATGGATCTGAAACTGCAGAGGGCTGCCTTAAAAGATCAAGAATACATGCACAAACTTAAATTTTTGTGTGCACAATGTGTTTGATGTTTTGTTTTGGACAAAATATAAACTATTCTAAATAAGCACAAGAAAGCTTTCCTTTACAAATGATTCTTATTAAATATGTTGAAAGGTGTAAAAAAAATGAAAAATGTGATGATGAGATTCTAAAAAGATTAGGGTCAACAAACATGCATTGAAACTACTAGAAAAGTAGCATTTAAAAAGTAAAAGATTCAACCACCAGCAGAATGTTAAACTTTCTTGCCAGTTGATGTCTATAATGCTTAATGCATTGTTAATGAGTTTTATTTTCTGAGTTTTTGAATAACTGATCTTTAAGAGACACACTCCCTGGTGTGATACTGGGCTTGCCTCTCTCTGCTCTTGAAAACCTATTACATGAAAATGGTAACATCTGCTTTACAAGGACAGTTCCAAAATAATGTCTTTGAAGGACACTGGAACCCTCAGGTTAACTATGCCATACTATATTAAAAATTTGTATTTTTTTAACATTTCATTTCTACCTCTGTCTCTGTCATATACTCAAGGAACTTTGTATTTCAGACACAGTTTACAAATAGGTATACCAGTGCTTAGACATAAAAGGTAGATGTGAAAATATGCATTTTTACGGCCTCTACTTTCCTTCCAAAGGTAGCAGTCAGGTATTACTCACTGAATTGTTACATTACTTTGAATGTTTAGGTAAAACAACATTGTAACTAGTTATTAATGGCTATTGTAAATTCAGCAGGAATACAGGTACACATAATAATTACATCACAATAACTCAAGGCACCTCAGTAAGGCGGCTAGTTGGCTTAGTGTTCAGAGACAATAGATCAAGGATAAATCTGGGATTAATGAGAATAAGTTTAGTGGCAATTAATTCTTAATATTTGGTCAAATAGAGATTTTTATCTCCAGGATATCTTATAAAAATAGAACTTGAGTTAAATTGATGATCATATCAGATTAATTTAGACACTAACAACCCATCGTATTTATATAGTCATTTTAGTTTCAAAGACTTTTCTCAAGCAGCCCTTGTGGTGCACACATCTGATATGCACGAGTCTCAGTCATCAATTAATGGCACCAGTCCTGCAAAAACATGGTTCAAGTTCCAGTCAGCATGGTGACTCGTAATTAACTCTGAGTACCACATAAGCTCAAACTTTACTGTTAATGCTCCAGTCTCAAATGATTACTTAAATAACAGATGTCTTGTGATCAGCGATCAATCGCAGCACATCTTTTACTCTGTCCCTATTTTAATCATGTTGGAACATAGTTTATTCAATTCACACACTGACAACAAAGTGTGTACTCGAGTTGCCTCTTTGTTTTCCAGTGATAAATCCATGTGACATTTTATAAAAATAGACAATTGAAAGGGAATTGGCTCAAAACAATTAAAGTGCAGCAAAAAACATAAGTGATAATCCTGGAATCAAAATTAAAATAGAACATAAGTGGAGTCACAGAAGATAGTGACCATGGGAATTTGGACATGACTGTGGTTTGAGTCTCTAAATGTGAGGGCACATTTGTCAGCATTCAGCATAAGTGGGGAGACTGGCTACGTTGTAAAGAACAAGGATGCGTCAGAGGAAATGAAACTGGCAAAAAAAACACTTCACATTAAAAGGATTTTCAGAGATATTTTAAGACACTGAAAATGCCAAGAATACAGTACAGGAAATATAGTCAATAATACTGTAATAACTATGTATGGTGCCAGTGGGGTACTGAAAATAGGGGGAGCATATACTTTGTAAAGTATATGAGTATCTAACCACTGTGTTGTATACCTGAAACTAATACAAAATGATATTGAATGTAAACTGTACTTAAAAATAAATAAAATGAGGGAAAAATGCAAAGGGTAAAATGCTGGAAGCTGATTCAAACTTCCAAAAAAGTTAACATTCAGCAAGACACAGAAAAGATCATCGGTTCCTCTCATAAGTTATTACATGAGGAGAAGGCAAAAACACTGTTCAAACTATGCCTCTTAAATGTTTTCTCCAAAAAAATAAAACACGATATTCCCTAGTGTTTCTAATGTTTTAAATTATGATGCACAGAATAAATATTAGGGTTACTGTATTTTTCAATTCCCTTATATTTATTAAATTTATTTCATTTTTCAAACTTCACTATATTTTTATACCATATAGTTAAAAAGGTTCTTACTGTTTTTACAAAATTTTTGTTCTTTACTGAGGTATAATTGACATATAACATTATATGATAAAATTTTTTAAACATCACAAACTATAATTTTCCCATTGATTATTCAGATTGTTTTGCATAGTTCCAGTTTGCATAGTCATTTTTATGAACCTGCATATCAGCAAAGCTAGGACTGCCTGTACATTCTTTTCTGCACCCAAACCTATATTTTTGAAAGATTTAGATACGCATAGCTTCATTGTAGGGAGCAAACTGATGCCTAAGGAGAATGAGTGACTTGCTGAATATCACAGTTTCCCATAGCTGAGTCTTGGAAATGACACTGGAGCCCTATCCTGTAGTTTCTAGGTACTAATAGAGTCTTTCCCCCAAATCCCCCTTTTTCTCAGGTAATTAAGTTTCAGACATATTACTGTTGAAAAGTAGCCCAGATACTTACAGATCTGGTCTGCATGAACCAGTGTTGACATAGGGCCTAGAAGTATGGTTTGTCCAGTTAATGGATCTTGAGACAAATGTGGATGCATTGGATGATGGACATGGCTAATATCATTGGAAGCACCTACAGAAGATAAAAAGATGGTTGCATTAGTGATATTTAATCAGAAATGGCGAGTTTACCTTGAAACAAATGGTTTGATTGACAGCTTAAATATTGCTATTTTTGCAGAGTGCTTTTTGGGAGTTCAAAAATAAATTAATAGAACCACTGCCATATTAAGGACAATGTCAGCTTTCACTGTACATCGGCTAGATGAATGTTGCATCATATTATGTTGTATATTAATAATGGACCTTGTGTGCTGTTTCCTGGAATCATTAGGTTGGTTGCCTGTTGTTAAGGCAATTCCAAGAATCACTTACCTCAAGTTTATGGTATTTAGGATCACCCTAATAGCATAAACAACTTTTATTTCAGGAAGATATCATTAGGAACACATTAAGCACCAGAAAACTAAAAATAAAATAAAGTGATTTTATAAGGAAATTTAATCTAGATCAGAACACAGAATAAATGCTTTCTTAACTTATTCCTGACATTTACTGCAGTATTGAAATCTCATTTTTCCTTTCTCATTGTGTTGTGTCAATTAATTATTTCAGGAGCAAAGTGTTTTTAAGATATTTACTCTATATTTTTAGATTATGTTTGCAATTCTGATATTCTTGAGCTTTTAAAGGGAGTAAAAGTATAGAAAAATATACTTCAAGGAATATTAAAAATGCAAATATATTTCTATTTACCATACTTGAAGGACCTGAAAATCAAGTTTGGAGGGACTTTGCGGAGCTAGATGGTGGAAGCTAGTAAGAATGGGGCTTGAATATATTCAAGTATTTGTCCCCATCCAATGGGTATTGCAGACTTTTTAAAAGTAAAAAATTGAGTTCATAATGTCACCGACAGAAAATAAAAGTGTCACACTGACTCTAAAATACATACTGGGATGCTAACAGATGAAACAGAGATTCTCAAATGCACTCACCACCCAGTAGCATTTCCTGCAGCAGGTTGTCAATTTTCACCATCCCGAAGAGTTTGACAAACTGAATTTGCTCAATCATCTGCCAGGTGATGCTCTGCAGCGTGGGCAGCAGCAGCAGCAGCTCCCCGAACCGGCCCCGGGAGTCGTACTGCCGGTCGTTGATGTAGTCCTCCAGGCTCAGCTGCACCTGAAACCGCATGTTCTTAATCTTCACTGGGTCACTTAGTCCTTTTGCATCTAGAAAGAAAAATAAAGAGAGCAGCCGAAAGATTGGATTTTAATAGTGTGTTACAGTAAATATTCCAAAAGTAAAAAGTAGTTTTATTTTCATTATAATTGTTTTAATGGGTCTTTGGAAACAAACCTGGATCAAAAAATACAATTGCCTTCAAACAAGCATATTCATTGTCATCAATCTGGATTTCCTGAAATGGTCGGACCAGTTCGTCTAGAACTCGGTTGGCCACACGGCTTATCTCAACTTCACAGCTGTTCCGCTGAATAATGTAGTTGTTGCCTAGAAAAAAATATATAAAATCATTCTCCCCCCAAAATTATCAGCTATTGTTTAAATTTTTACAAACTAATGTTTTAAATGGCCTTCCCTTGCAGAAAAGATAGTGCTTCCTCTCTCAGTAGTGTTAAGTTAGAAAAACTTAAGAATGCTTAAAGGATCAATAACATTGATAATATGATCACATGCATTTTAACAGCCTCAGTCACTGGTGATAACAGTAAAGTACAGGCTAATAAACAAGCTAATATTTGACAAGGGAGAAATTAAGTATAATGATTAGCTTCCCGCAATGTCAGTTATCTGCTAGTGTCTTATTCATTAATGAGCATAATGCAAAATCTGAAGAATGTTTACAGTGGATTAAAAATACCACTCCTTTAGTAATGTAGGTATATTTAGGTGTAACTCAATTGAAACACATTTTAACAAGCTAAGTAGATATATTGTATCCAGATCCATAATGAGAATGGTATTATAGTGTCCTCTAAATGCAGCAGAGTATTTAATAGAATTTGTGAGCATGGTCTCTATAGTCACATTATGTGGTTTAGAATCCAGACTCTATCCCTCCTTAACCTTGTGACCTTAGATAAATTTCCCCTGCTTCCATTTCTTCATCTGAAAAATGGGCTGAAAATGATATTACCTATCTCTTAGAGTTACTGTGAGGGTTAAACAAAATAGTGTTGATACACATATAAAAAAAGCACTGAGAGCAACACATTAACACATAAGTGCTCAATAAATATTTGCCATTATTACATCATGTTTGATTTATTCATATTTTGGGACAAAATATGTATCACATAAATAGGATAAACAATTCGGTCATCATATTTCACACAAGCCAGGGAGAAGTGGAGCTAGTAAACAACAGGGGAATCTTAACTCTTTCAATAGGAAACCTAATTTAGTAAGTTAAGTAGGGTGGAAAGATTGGGGACTTAATGACAAAAGCTTTTCTTTTTTCCTCACCACCCACCTTCCATTCTGCCCTCTATTCTACTTTTGCCTCTTCTGGCACTGTTATTGAACTATCAGAATTTTTCAGACACTGTCATCAATTTTTTTAACCTGTGATTTCGTAGCATACCATGGGCAATGACATCACAGGGGATACACATGCTCACTAACAATGTATCAAATAACAGTATTACAATTAGTAAGTAGAGACAGTGAAGTGTGAAACAACACTGAGGCTCCTTAAGACAACCACACAAATCCCTGATTCTTTGTTTTGATTATTTAAATATACCTCAAGATTTCATTCATTGAGCAACACCATTCTTTTATTTTTTTAAATCTCAGTACACCCTGAACATCTCAATGTGCTCTGAACTTCCGTGCAATCAAAGAAAGGAAAAATAGGGCCCGAGTAACGATATGACCAATTAAATCCAATCTGTGAAGTGACAGCACCATTTGTCAGTGTCTACGAATGCTCAGTACATACAGAATAGATCCTGCGTAAGAATGAAGCATGCATAATTTCTTTTTAAATTAAAAAGAAAACTTACCCAAAAGCAAAATATCTTTATACATCATGGATCTCTTTGTAGCTCCAAGCAATAAATGTTCCCCTGCATGAGCTCTCAGCAGGGCCACCTAAATGAAAAATTGCAGGTTGAACAATTAATTATAAAATATGATGATTAGAAGATGGCATTATATGAGCCTGATTTACTTTAAGCCTGGGTCACTTTCTTTTTGTTGTTTTAACAGACTATAATATTCACAGATAGTTGCCATCATTTAGTTGCCTTCTATTTTCCTATTGTAGAATGTCACAGGGTTTTACTTTTCAAAATTTTTAAAACTAACAAGTCAATACAATATCAGCAAACAAACAAACAAACAAAAAGATCTAACAGAACAATTAAGTACTTTGGAATGAGATAAAATCAAACAAAGCAGAATTCAAGTTCTGGTTTGGCCACTTACTACTTGTACCTTGAGTATACCGACTATTTATGTTTGGGATTCATTTGTTTTCATCTACCAAGTGGATACAATGATTAAAATTTCAAAATGTCGATATGAAAACTGAATGAGAAAATGTGTGTAAACACAATCTCTTATTCATAATAAACTGAATAAACAAGAGCAAAGTGAGGACCTGTGGCATAGTGCAATGAGAATGGAGAATCTGGGTTCTAACGCACTCAAAACTGAACCTATAACTCTGTTCTAGGTTCTCAACTGAGCTTTATGTATATACTCAATTGCCTGCTGAAAAATACCAGTAGAGATAATAGGAAGCATTTCAAAGTTAACATTTCAAAGTAATGCTTCCCCAACATCTTCATCATGGCCCAACATGCTTGTTCACGACAAAAACAAGGCTCCAGTTTGATTCTTCTCTAATCGCCGAGCAAACCCTATGTCGCCTCTGCCCAAGCCTTCACCATTCTCCTCCTGGCCTCCGCGATGTACTCCGAACACCTAATGGGTATTCCCACTTCCTTCCTCGTTCTTCTAACCTAAGTCCTGCTTGACAGAGCTCCCAAGATGATATTTATAGAATAATAATCACTTAATGTCATTCATCTGCTGAAAATTCTTTACTGGTTTCTCATTGGCCTAGGAATAACATCCAAAGTGCTTAACCAAGCCCTCACAGGTTTTGCTCAGTGCTTTGTCCCCCACTCACATCTGTGGTCTCATCTTGCAACATCCCTTGCAGATATTTTTCTCCAGGCCCATTTATTCCTGCTTGCCCCAGGGTCTTTGAACATGCTGTTTCTGTACCCACAATGTTTTCTCCTTGACCTTGATATGATTAACTTTTTGTCATTCAGGTCTCAGGAAAAATCTTTTCTGATTCCACATTTAAAGTATCTGTTACCACTTCGCCCCCCAGTCATTGCCCAAGAAATCAAGCCATTTCATTTTATAGAACTTATCCCCACCTAGAATCAACTGACTCATAATCTGTATATTTTTTATTGTCTGTCTGTCTCAAATGGAATGTAAACTTTATGAGAATAGTGACTCAATCTGAATTTTTACTGCCGAAGACTCACAGTGCCTAAAACTGTAGTCCCAATAAATATTTGTTAGAGGAACGTACTGAGTGAATTTAACTGATTCAGAGTTTAGTTTTAAAAAATGTAAAGTGGAGATTATAAAACTTCTAACAGAGAACTTCTGAGAGCATTAAGTAAAATAATCTAATGTATAATACAACTGAAAGCTAATTGCCCAGTGCCTTATCCATAATAGACATTTCAGCAGCCATGGTTAATGCTATACTGTTAATATTAAAGACTGAGTTAGTAAATAAAAACTGTTTTTGACAGGTTCCTGGAATTCAATTCCCCAATGTTATAATCACTATCTTCATATTTAAGTCAGCAACTTTGAAAGAGGAGTGATAGTAAAAATATAAAACTGATAAATAACATAACCCTACTTATATGGCTTGGGGTGAGACAAGTAGGTTTTAGCAATGTAGCATTATTCACTCTGAAATAACCTTCTGAGCCAAGCTATCTTTATGATATGTCAATAACCATGACTCATAACAGGAAGGCAGTTAAGAACATTTTGAGAGTGATTTCAGATTTCACTGGATTTTTTTTTTTTTTGGTCACCAAGTGAAATGCTCTCCTAGCAAGGTAACTCAACTTCCTATGATTACTTTTTTTTTTCTGGTTTTACAAATATTTTGTCATATTTTATTTTTAAACAATTGTACTTTTCCCTTTTATTGTTTTTGGTTTTGTTTTTGTGTGTCCATTATAAAGAACACTGGTCAGAAGATGAAAAGATATACACTGGGTACAATACATACCATGGTTTATTCAACACACAGGAATTGGAAATTTTCAATTTGCATCTACAAGATATTATATTCTACTTAGATGGAAGAGATCAAAATGAATATGAAACTAATGATCTACTCTTCATAGGCTAATTAAGAAATTAAAGTATTAGGAGAAGGTCATTATATCTGAATTTTCCCCATTTCTCTGTAGATTTCAGAGCACAATTCTATAGACTTTTTTACCAGACTTATAATTTTTATACAGTAATGCTAGAATAAAATTGACAATATGCAAGGCAAAATGTTATGTTAACTGCACAAAGTGCCCCCAAAACACCAACACAACCTGCCCAGGGTTTCCATCCAGGAATGGCCTGGCATTTCTAAGCAATTATACAGGCGCCTTCAGTAAACACCCAGACACGATCATGTACCATTTGCCTCTTGGACACTTGCTCTGCAAGTTCTTTGTATCATGAAGGCAGTTACTTGTGATCTGTGTTTCTCCCTCACTTAAGCTTTTAAAAATAAGAAACAGTGAACAGTGTCACGCTCACTTCAATCAATAAATATGGCAAAAGCCCTGAAATAGAAGTTAAACAGCTGTGTGTCTTGATAGAACAAAGAAGTGAGTAGACAAGAAAGCCAAGTTTTTCCCATAGAAAAGTTTGCCTTTGTCAAATATGGTAAATCTATTATAAATATAATTAAAATAACACAAAAAACGGGACAAAGTTCAAAAAGCATTTTTAAAGCATTCAAAATTTCTTTAACTTCTACCTGATCATCCAGTGGTAACTCACAGAAGGCCGGGATATATTTTGCCCATTCCACCAACACCAAGAGCTGCTGTTTCATAGATTCGCAGACATCACCAATGTTGGCAATTTTCTTAACGTTTATGTCCGTGCTCGCACCAGGGCTTGAAGCTGAAATCTAACATGAAAAAGAACATTATATTAATCTGTCATTTAAAACAATAAATAACCAATACTTCTTTTTGAGATGACTGCAATAAGTAAACACCACTGAAGCGGCACTGTCATTGCTGCAGTATCTTGAAATATACTAAATATTTTTAAATTGAGAAATAAAATACCTTTCAGTACAAGTTAAATGGAAAACACTCCTTGCACAGCACATGCTGTGTGAACACTATCTTATTTTACTGGCCACATCTGTAGAATAAGTTACCTAACTTTCAAAACAATTCAAAAAGGACTGTACAAAGAAATAACAGAGAATTTACATGACATATCATGCTCTGTGATTTTTTTAATTGAAAAGTGGTATTTCCATTAAGAAAGTCCATCTTTAATTTGTTGAAAATGTTTCCAGTAGACAAAGTTTACCAAACAGGGGAAAACAGATTTAGATGAGAAGCCAGAACAATTTATGTTCTACACTGAATGAAAACCCATCAAAATAAAATTAAGAAACCAACCTCTGACTCAGCAACATTGAAAAGTTTAACCTATAATAATAATTTTAAAACTATATGTAATTGTGAACTATATGAAAATATAAATGGCATTAGAATGCCCCTCTTCTGAAGAAATCATTTTCTAAAGGCTCTTAAAAACATTTTTTTGAAATTTTTAAACTTGTGTGTGTATGTCTTTCTGTAGTGTATGTGCACTTCCACACGCCTCCCCTTAAAACCATTCCCTAAACACTTTATAGGACAATCAAGTAATCTCCAAGTAACAATGATGATAGTGGTAAGGCTAACCTCATCATATTACCCTTGTGTTATCAAAAACGAAAGTAGTTGTACTGACTCAGTATGATACTGGATTAATAGTTAGCTATTTCACAATTTGCTTTATAATAGAAAATATCACTAACATTTATAATGGAAGCAGTGCTAAAATAAACTGCCTTCAAGGGTTTCTTTATTTAATACTTAGAAATTTATATTTATGTATGTAACTAATGACCCACATTTTTAAACTTTAGAACCAATTTTATCACTCTAGAAACTTACACTTCCTTGTGTGTGTGTGTGTGTGTGTGTGAGTGTGTGTGTGTGTGTGTGTGTGTGTGTGTTTTAATTTCTGGCTCTTCCCTTAAATACTTGTTTCCAAAGAAGGTACTAGGGTGAGCTTTTGACTCCAAAAGTCATTTGTGAGGCACGAAGCTCAATGATAGGTCTTAACCAAACTCCCTAAAAGTGATAATTGACTTTACACAGTCAATCAGTAAAACCAAATACTTCCCCCAGAGCACTGTGCTATGCATTACGTATTTTAAATGAACCTTGTAAACAATTTATTTTTAAAATCTTCCACTGAAATGCATTTCATCATTCAATTTTATAAACAGGAACTTGTCCAGGAAAAGTTAAAGTGAAGTCAACGGTCCGACTAATAGTTTTAAAATAAAACTCTTTAATTTGCATAAATGTGATTTATTTTAGTAATGAGCACATCGGAAAGAACTTAGATTGTTTTAGCATTACACCTAAATAGCCATTCACTTTACGAAGCAGGGCAGGCTGCTGGTGTGCAGTAGGTACCTGGCGAGACCGGAGCTCCGCCTGCGCCAGCGTGTTAATGGAGGGGATGTTGCTGCCATCAAAAGTGCTTCTCCTGGTGCTGATTCTGTCACGTTCATTTTGCACAGCTTGGGGAGAAAAAACACAGTGTTTTCTGGTGGGTTCTTTTCAACATATGTCACAAAAGAAAGTAGGAGAAGTCAGAAAGGATGATGCTAAAAGACCTGGGGTTGGAAAGCAATATGACTGAAAGTACTTTTCATTTTGTATCACTTTTATTCTCGTAAGTATATTTTATTCATTAGGCTATTACAGTTGTGCTATCTTTCTTTCTTCCCTTTATCCCTCTCCACCTGGTTCCCCCATTTTGTATCACTTTTAAAAGTAGAAAGAGCCAGGCTTGTCACTTGCGCTCATAAAATATTGCCTTTTTGGGATTCCATGATGGCATGCACTTTAAGAAGTGTTAGGTCAGTCAGTTCGGCCACAGTATATTTCAGTAAGATGGTTTTCTATTCTCCTAAAGTTATTAAAACCATAAGATAACTAGAGGGAGAGCACTGCCTGTGAGATTAACCAGGTCAAAGATAAGAGTGCATTCACTGTCAGAAGATGTGAATGATAGAGTTTGTAACTTCCATTTTCTTGACAACCTCTCCCCTTCTTTCCCACATTTTCCCCCGCCCACTCCCCTCTGGTTACTGTCAGCTTGTCCTTTATTTCAATATAATAAATTGAAATAAATTGTATAAAAAACCTGGAGGGAGAGAGTAAGCTAACAGTAAATATGATTTTAAAATAAAATATTAATGATTCACTATTACTTAAAAATTATTCACCCTTAAAAGCAAAGAGTTCAATATTTTCTCTTCCAAATTAATGACTCGATATTTAGTAGTATATTTTGGGTAGACAGTAGATATACTGTCTAAAAGACCTGGGGTTGGAAAAAGACCTGGGGTTGGAAAAAGACCTGGGGTTGGCCATGAAAAGACCAGGTCTTTTATATACTCTTGATATAACCTCGAATAAAAAAAAAAGGAAAGAGAAATTTCCATTTTCTTATTCTTCTAAACCATGACCAAAAGTGGAAAGCACTTTTTTTTAGTTATGGTGGTTTTAAAATTGCAATCTTATGATTTCTTATAAAACAATGTTCTTGGGAAAGTATACACACATTAACCAAGCAAAAGGTGCTGTAAATAGAGAGTCTCTCCTGTGAAGAGTCAGGTTGGAAATTCAGCATTTAGAAGTGAAGAAATCTCCCTTATTATATAAAAGGCTTAAAGAGAAAGCTAGATCAACTTCTTTCAGAAAGGGCAGAAAGAATAACATGTATCCCCAAATCCCTATTGAAAAATAAACTGTAAATATAAGGAAGAGAAAGGGGGATTAACTTGTATATTTGTCACATAAAGAATAATATAAGTCAGAGGTCAAAGTTGGATTTTAACATTTAGAAGGTAAAATTATCTCTCTTAACCAAAAAGAATGAAAACCAGACCTGTAGCCCCTAAATTAAGTTAATGCTCTACCTTGCTCTGCTGGAAAGATAAAACATTAAACTATCAGAAAATTTTAAAGCATTTATTGTTTTATTTAAAAATTCACTAATTTCTATGCTCAAATCTACTGTCTACCCAAAATATACTACTAAATATCGAGTCATTAATTTGGAAGAGAAAATATTGAACTTTTTGTTTTTAAGGGTGAATAGTTTTTAAGTAATAGTGAATCATTAATATTTTATTTTAAAATCATATTTACTGTTAGCTTACTCTCTCCCTCCAGGTTTTTTATACAGAAATTGTCATTGATTTTCAGCCTAAACTAGTGAAATATATTTACAGAGATAAAAATGAAAATGTAAGTTATGCTTCTATTAATTTAATTTACATTGTCAATCTTTAGAAAAATGTAAAACATGTTGCATTTGTAACCTTCCTACTGTTATTGTTTTCTACATAAAAGCATGTTTATATATGTTTCCACCTTAAACTAACCTTGATAAGACTCTATACTGTAAATAAGAGAAATATAACTACTCTAAAATCCAGAAATTACTTTCTAACCTATTTAGAAAAAAACTAATGTATTATTCTATAAATAATAGACAATATTTCAGTTTTTAAAAATAATTGATATATTAAAGGGTATAACTCTTAAAGAAAATATAAGATGGTAATTTGCAAGTAGAAATAGATAAAAATGATTGGCAAAGTATGTAATTAATCCCATAAACTACCAGATGTGCCATTAGACATGTCATTTTTAAATAGAAAAGCATCTCTCCTTTAACTTTGTGAATTTTCAGTTGCCCTCTTTTTTTGAGACTAGCAACCTGAATGAAACTAATGGAACTTTTGCTTCTTTAAGATATTGGGTGACAAGGAAAAAAACCTATGTTCAAAGTAGGTTTGATACACCTTACACTTCTGAAGAATAGTGATTTAACTGATTTAATTTAAAATTAAATTAAATTTTAATTTATTTTTTTTTTTAGTTTGTGAAATAGTCATGAAGAATATCTCTTTGTTCCATGTCAATTTTTGAAATATTTGTTCTATATTTATGAAATATGTCATTGGTATTTTGATAGGATTGTATTGAATCTATAAATTCCTTTGGGTAGTATGGGCATTTTGATGATGTTAATTATTCCAATCCATGAACATGGTATATGCTTCCATTTATTTGTGTCTTAATTTTTTTCTTCACTGTTGTATAGTTTTCTGCATACAGGTCTTTTACCTCCTTGGTTATGTTTATTCCTAAGTATTTATTTTTGTTGTTGCTATAGCAAATGGGATTTTTTTCCTAATTTCTGTTTCTGATATTTCATTGTTGGTATACAAAAATGCCATCCATTTCTGATGTTGACTTTGTATCTCACCATTTTAGAAAGAACTCCTACCCTTCAAGACAGCATGGATGGAATTGGAGAGTTGTATGCTAAGTGAAATAAGCCAGGGGGTGAAAGACAAATACCATATGATCTCACCTATAAGTGGAACCTAATCAACAAAACAAATGAATTAGCAAAATAGAACCACAGCCTTGGAAATAAAGAACAAACTGACAGTGACCAGAGAGGAAGTAGGAGGGGGATAATGGGGGGAAGAAGGGGGAGAGGCAAGGAAAGGAACATGGATAGACTCACGGGCACAGACAATGGTGGGGATTGACTGTGGGCATAGGGGGAATGGGTAGGGGTGAGCAATGGGGAAAAAGGCAGGGCAACTGCAACTGAACAATAATAAATTTTAAAAAATTTAAAAAGAAAGGAAAATATCTTTTTGTATATGACAGGCACAAGAATATACAAAAACTGATAAGCCTTAAGTCTTTTAGTGACTATTCTCTGCCAAACGTTGAAACATGTTCAACTTATTTCTAATATAACTATATTTAGAATGTAGGGTAATAGAGGCAAATTATTTAATATGTTCAAAATGAAATTAGTTGACATCAAAATAGAGAATCCAGTCTATGTCTCTGCCCCTCAATAGAATACAAGCTCCCTGAGGAGGAAAAATTTTCTATTAACTACTGAAACCTCAGCACCCAGAACAGTATTTTGAAAGTAGCAGTGCTCAATAAATATTTGTTGAATAAATGAATGCATTCAAAGACAATATTCAGTTGTTTATAAAATAAATAAAAGTATTCAATCTTATTGACCATAAAAAGTGTTTAAAATGCAATTAGAATTTCAACCTATTAATAGATTTTGCCATTTATCTTTTGAACTGAATATTGAACTGTTATTTAGACAACAATGTTGTTGCTGTCAGGTGTGACACAGTAGTATAAAGAGGATGGTGTCAGAAATCAGACGGTCATCAGATAAAGAGTGGTTCTACTGCTTTTTAGCTGGGGGCCAGTGGCCTAGGGTAAATTCTTAAACTCAAGGAAACACAGATTCTTCATTAAAAAAAATCAGAACTCATGTGAAAAGGTTATTATGATTAAATGAGAATGTGTGTATAACATTTTTCATCAATAATGTTAAATATCATTATTATGCTATATGTTTTTACCTTCTTTTTTCATTCCTGCTCTAAAACACTTTCTTAATCGACAGTATCTACATTGATTCCTTTTGTCCTTGTCAACAACACATTGCCGACTGAACCTATAATATAAAAAAAGGGTATATTAGTTTTGCAGAAAATTATTTATGAAAAAAGCAATAAAAAGACAAATAGACTCTAAGTTTGGCCAAATTTGGCCCAAAAGAAAGAATCTATAAGAACAATTAACTGACTTTTCCAGATATTATGAACATTTGTAACCTTCCTACTGCTATGGTTTTTGACATACAACCATGATCAGAGCATACATGGAAATACAATCCTCACCTCTCGTGCAGTCTTTATAATGAAATGAAACTGAGTGACATCTAACTCTTGGCCAGTGTGCATGGTCATTTCATCATGAATCATGAAAGCCAAACTTAGAGTTAAAATATTTGGCATATAAATTATAATTGCTTGTTGCTAAATGATTTCACTGTAATGGAAAATATATCAGAATTTCATTCCTCTGCATTGTCATGCTTTTCTCATTGTAAATATTCTTTGATTAATTTTAAATATGACCCAATTAAAGTTTACTCTAAATGCCAAATTGCATGTCAATAGGCAGATGAGAACAGCTTTGGCTACAGTCTCTGCAAAATTAGATGCCATCTCACATCCACTAAAATAGCTCTGCTCAGGGAAAAAAACAAAAAACAGAAAATACAAGTATTGAAGAGGATGTGGAAAATAAAAATCCTCATATATTGCTCATCATAACATAGAATGCTGTAGCCATTTAGGAATTTTGGTAGTTTTTTTAAAAGTTAAACATAGAGTTACCATATGATCCAGCAATACCACTCTTAGGTATTTACCCCCCCAAAAAAACCCAAAACCGTATGTTCACAAGAACACGTGTACACAAGTGTCCACAGCAGCATTACTTGTAATAGCCAAAAGGTGGAAAAAACTCAAATGCCCATTAGTTGAGGGACACATAAAATGTGGTTCCCCCACATGATGGATATTATAAATAACAATTAACAGGAATGGAGTACTGATACATACTACAAATTGGAAGAACCTTCAAGAAGTCAGACACAAAAGGCCACATATTGTATTATTTTACTTATACCAAATGTCCAGGAGAGACAGATCTACACATATGGAAAGCAGACAAGTGGTAGTCTCACATTGGTGGGGAAGAAGCTGGTGGCAAAGAGTAGTGGCTGCCAAAGGGTATGAGGTTTCTTTATAGGATGATGAAAATGTTCTACATTGATTGTAGTGATGCTTGCAACTCTATTAAACATACTAAAAAGTGGAATTGTACACTTATACAAAAAGGACTACTGTCTACATAATTAGACCTGAGCTTGATTCCCAGATCCATCATTCACTCTTACTAGGACTTGGCAATGTTATTAAACAACCCCTCCCACCCAGTTAATTTACAATTATAAGGTTGTTATGTGAATGGACTTCAAAGACTTTGGGGCAAATATTAATCATAAAGTAAACAATAACATTTCTCTAAAATTCTGGCCTAAAATTACCCATATGTATATCTCTGATTATTTTGGTTGATTATTAATCATGAGAATAAAACAATATATTTTGTGATCTATATAAAAAGATATTTCTTCTAAAAATATGAATTGCCACTTAAAATTGAATGAATATAAAGCCTACTATAGATGAATTGAGCTGGAAGACAGGCATACTTTCTGGGTGAGGAAAAAGACATTGTTCATTTGGGATGCATGGTTGAGGAGACTCAGGAGAGAGGACCTGGTTACCAATAAATACAACAGGCGAACACATTAAATTAATGCAAAAATGAAATAAACATTTATTTAGCATAAAATTTGTTTATAAGATCTTGGTGTAAGGATTAAACAGAGGACTATTTTCTACCTCCTGCATTCAAGGAAATGATAACCTAATAGGGTACACACACAAGTTTACAAATAACCATAATAAATAACATAATATGAGAAGTATTGAGACAGTAATTTAAAGTGCTTTGAAAGGGAAACTCTAACTCCATTGTGATAAAAGAGTTAGAGTAGAAATAAATTTAGTAAATATAAGGACACTGAAAAATTTGATTCAGCAAAATGTGAGCTGAAATAGAGCTTTATGATCCTAAACTTCCCTCAATATAATAACCATTACCCAAATGAAAAATCATAGCATTCGCTTAAGAGTGAAATATGTAAAGAAAGCTAAAGTAGTAGCAATACTCATGATGGGAAGGTGTGAAATAACCATACATGTTGGTGGAATCTTTTTTTAAATTTCCAAAAGATGCTATAGGAGCACTCGGTTTCCACTTTTCCCAGACAGGAAGCATGGAAATCCTGAAATCTCTTTGTGCAGATAGTCTCTGATCCTTAAAAGTTTTTGATGGATTTAGTTGTTTGGATTGCTATTTTTCAAATCTATGTATTTCCCTTTTAACAGAATATATGACAAAAAAAGTATTGTTTACATGTTGTTTTGTATTTATGTTTGTTGATAATTTTGGAAATCTACTTGTTCTCCTTTTTTACCTTTGGAGTTTCGATGTATAGAAAAGCAGAACCCATCTAACTATTATTAATTTTTTTTGTTTACCAAACAGGTCTTAAAGTGAATGATTTACATTTTTGACCTACTAAGTTTTCCTTGAAAAACTAATAGAGAATGCTAGTTATATATTTGGGTAGCTATATATTGACTTTTCCATATCCCTAGAAATCAAAAGGCATATCAGGAAAGAATTAACTTCTTCCCCAATATAATCTGCATTCAAGAACTGTCATTCTGAACATTCAGTGTGGAATATTTAACCCTAAATTGTGCCATGATGCTGACTAGATGGTAATAAAGAAAAACCAGTCTATTAGAAATGTAATATGCATAGAATATAGTTAAATAAGTTTTAGATAAAACATTATATTCAATGGCAAAAATTGCAAACAAGAAATTTAAAATTTTAAGACTAAATATTTAATCTTTCATTAACATCAAAAAACTACCAAAATTATCTGCACTTTTATGATTTTGTTTTAAAACACTCAGGTTGTAATGATGCTAAAAAGAAAATCAATAGGCAGAAAAGGACACAGATTGTGAAACCATTTGAATACAGACTTAAGTATGTCTATTGGTATATGAACATGTGGTAAAACAATAAAGAAACACCAGGAAAAGACAGTGAATTTCAGACAGTAGTCACCTATGGGAGAGAGGGTAGAAAAAGGAAGCGATAAAGGCGGTACCCATTGGGCTCCAACTATACTGGTAAAAGTTGAATGCTAAGTGTGTGGATTTTTTATATATAAGTCTGAATGTTTCATAAAAGAGAACCATCTCTGTGAATGCATCCTACAAACACACCCACACATTCTCATTCTTAATGTAGTTTATAGATTTTGTTCCCAGAGTTACAGAAATAAAAAAAGCTCTGAATTTTATTCCCATTTTGCATGCCATTGTGAAACACCTCTAAAATAACTTTGCTAACAGGGGCATTTCAAGTACCTGCAGGAATACACGTGACTCTTGCGTATGCTGCGCCTGAAGAAGCCTTTGCACCCGTCACAGCTGGATGCTCCATAGTGTTTTCCTGTTGCTCTGTCCCCACATATAGCACATAGACAGTTGACACCATTGTCTGTGGTATTCATACTTGTGGTCTCTGGGGCAGAACTATCTGTTAAAAAAGAAATAAAGAGGGTTGTAGGGAGAGCAGACTTAAATTGTCCTACTAAATATTCAGTCCATTCATTGGCTTCTTGGAGGCCCCACGCACTGCTTCCTTTTTTTTTTTTTTTAAACCGTTGTTCAAGAACAGTTGTCTCCATTTCCCCCTAACAGTTTTCCTGGCCCCACCCACTCCCACTTCCCACTCTCGAACCTACCCCCCTTTGGCTTGTCCATGGGTCCTTCATACATGTTCCTTAACAACCCTTCCTCTTCTTTCCCCCATTATGGTTTGATCTCCAAAGCATATAAAGAACTCACTGCTTCCTATTAATCAGTGGCTGCTTCTGCCAGTCTCCATTCAAATCCCCCTTTTCATATTTCTGATGATTAAACTTTGGGACACTATAGGGCTCAGTCCTCCAACTATACCCTTTCTCAAGGGAAGTTCATGAAGTTCTATGACATTAAATATTATCTGTATGATTAAAATCCCCAAGTTTTATCTCTGGCCCTGATGTCTGAAATTCCCAAATATCTATTTAACAGCTTCACTCTAAAGTTTAAGAGAAATTGCAAATTAATGTATAAAAACAAAACTCTGATTTTTCCCTTAGAATGTGCTCTTCCTTCAGTCTTTCATATCAGTCAACAGTACCCAAGGTCAATAACCTGTGAGTCTTCACTGGATTCTCTTCTTCATCACTCATATCCAATCCAGTTGTAAAGTGCATATTTAAAATACATAGAGAATCCATAACTTTTCGCCCTTTAACTATGGCCACTCTTATCCAATTGACCATAATCTTCCCCCTCAGTCACTGCAATAGTCTCCTATCTAATTTCTCTCCATTCAGCCTTGCTCCCTACTGTTTATTACTCCAAAGCTCCCACAGTGCTCCTGATATGAGAAAGTCACATCTTATCAGCCTTCTGCATCCAGCCCTTACAGACAGGTACACTTAGGGTGGCCTGTAAAGCTCAGTGGCTAGAACTTCCCCCTCCCACCTCTCTGATGCTATTATTTAGTACTAGTTTTCATCTGTGTTCACTGTCCTCCAGCAAAGTGGTCTTTTTTCCCTTGAAGTCTGTTTCTGTCTCAGAGCTTTTACACTTGCTACTCCTTCTGCCTGGAAGGAAAGTTGTTCATCAAAACTTTCTTCCAGCTGCCTATCCAGTTTCTGCTCCAATCCCTCATTTTCTACGAAACATTCTCTGAACACAGTTCCCAAAGAGTTACTTCTCATCTGCCTCAAGTAGAACATGGAACTCTCCTTATTTTTTTTTTTAAATAAGTGCTTCATTGTCTAAATCTATATCTTGTATTGTCTGTCCATTTATAATCCATCTCTGTCTGTAGTCTACAAACTTCATGATGTCAGAGAAATTACCTGTCTCATCCATCCCCCTCTGTCTTCCAGCTCTTAGAACTGTATCTGGCATAAAGAGAGCGTCCAATATATAGTTTTGAAGAAAGAGGCTTAAAAAATCCAGATGTTTTTAATTAAGTATTTTTAAATGAGTTAATGTTGCTGAATGCATCTTAAAAATCTGTATGTCCTCAAAAGATATTGAATATAGTAACATTTTAAAATTTTAATTTATAAAGTTGTGTAATATAAGCATAATAAAAATTAATTCTATTTTTAATAGAACAAAAGATAAAATTAATGGTTGTCATGTACCAAATATATTCTGTGACAACACATATATCCTACTTACTAATACTTCTGGATAGACAGATATTATCATATATAATTTCATAAATTAAAAAACATAATAAGAATATGCTTAAGGTTAACCATATGACATTATAAATTTTAAATTAGAAATTTTTCTTCTGGTAATACAAACAAAATAGATATTAGAAATAAGGTAGCTAAAAGTATTTATAATTAACCTCATTCTGGGAGAGTAAATGAAAATATAAAAATTTCATCTTTTGCTTTAAGTTTAAAATGTCATACTTATATATTATTAACGACATCATTATAAGAAAATAAGTTTGACAACACTTTGGCAATTCAGTTGTTTTTGTAAATATTTATGGTATTCTTGTCCCTTCTATTAAGCAACCTGTAGTCTCAAAAAATCATGATTCCACTGAGATAAATACTCTATTAAATATCTCTAATCAAATCTACACATAAGAAATCAAAATAGTGACTTCCTAAGATTTGTACTCTCATTTTAATTCTCTTTGTGCTAAAATTTCAGAATTCATCTTCTGACAATCCTTAAAATCGTTCCACTAATAATACAAGATAGTAGAACAATCAGACATCCTGAGTGTAAGAAACATTCTCAGTCCTGAACTAAACACACACACACACACACACACACACACACACACACACACACACTTTCCACACACATTTTCCAAACTATACATAATTACTAGATTTTAGGAGTTCTATCAATTACAACTAATCTTGAAAAATATTTTTACTTAAAAAATAAATTTAAAGTCAATAGTAAACTGTATTATAAAAATACCTGAGCTCTAAACTACTCATGTCTTATTTAAAGTTAAAATGTTGCAGTAGATAAATACCAAGAGTTTTTTAAGCTAAACATTAGCTTCTCAATTGAGATTATAATATAAGCCTTTATTTGCTTTCATATTTGTGTTCAAGGCAAAAACTTGATAGTAATTTTTAATGCAGTTTCTCAGCAGCAGCAATTGAGAGCTGGAATAGTTGAGGAGGGGACAATGAGGAAAACTTTCCAGTGCTCTGTGGAAACTCTATCCCAAATGTCATTTTACATATTGCATAGAAAATATACTTTACAGCCAATCTGACAATGTTACTTATTACTGTGATTTATAGTAAATATAATCTTTTTTTCACCTTACTGGCTCATGACAGAATTCTGAGGTTACTTTATTACATTCAGCTAAGTTTTTTCTATTTCAAACATATTATTAATTTAAAGTTTGTGGTGACGTGTAAAAGGTCAGATTTGTGGCTTTAAAAAGCAAGCCCTGAATTCTCCAGCAATAAAACCTGGAACTACCACCTGGGAAGCTCAGTTTTACCTCCCCCACTATATACTTATTATTAAAAAAAATATTAACAAGCAGATGAGAACTCACCATTTGAATTATACAGAATCTGCATAGTCTCAAACTCCAAGGTTGTATATGTTGGGTCCAAAACTTCACTGTAATTTGCCATGTCCATGTCCAGTATCGGTTCCGATACCCTCATCATTGATTTAGAAACACACATACAGTGTCACCCAAGCCTAGAGAGTGTGAGGGCTGCTAGGCTTTCAATCTGTGAGTGATAACCCAAAGTTAACTGTCACTAAGTGACTTTTGTGCTGCAGTGGGAGGAGCTGTAAAACTGTAAACTCCTTCAGCAAGCTATATTCTGCTTCTTTCTTCTTTTATGGCATACGAAAGCAATTCCCTATGATAATCTTGGAATGTTTCATGAAATAACCTTATCTGAAGTGCTTAGTGGACTAACATGATTTCCTAAATTGTTTTTCAGTAGACAATAAATGATGTCATTAAGAGGATTAAAAATAGAAAAGAGAATTTCTGAGGTTTTAAACTGTAATTGTAACAAGATTTATCTTATTTAAAGGGGCTGAAATTTTATTTCACATGCTCTAAAAGATGAGACTTAACTGTCATAATTTTGATGTCTTGACTATAACTTAACCATTAATGCTTAACATAAGCTCTTAAAGATTTCAAGTTTTTTACCTTTACAATAAAGCTAACTTTGTTTATGTTGGAGTAAAACAAGTTTTTAATTTGAAGTTATAGGGATTTATGATATATTCTAGTAGCAGCCAGGGCATAACCCTAATAAAGCCTTTAACGTATTATCTTTAACTATCAATTTATGAGTCTGTGTCTCTTGCATGTTAGTAAACTCCTCAAAGGCAGAAGCAGTATAGTTGCTAGTATATTGTAAGCATTCAGTAAATAATTGTAGTATGAATGAAGTTCCATTTCTTTTGACTTCTGCTGCCTATTACATTCTAGGCATTAACCTGAAATAAAATGATCCCTTAGGTGCGTGGCTCTACACAATACCATCATCAACCTTCTATTATGTCTGACTTCTCCATAGCACAGGGTACAATTTTTTAAATATTTTATTGATTTATTTTTAAATAGAGGGGAAAGAAGGGAGAAAGAGAAGGAAAGAAACATCGATGTGTGAGGGAAACATTGATCAGTTGCCTTTTGCATTCCCCCAACTGGGGACCTGGCCTACAACCCAAGCCTGTGTCCTGACCAGGAATTAAACAGGTCATGTTTTGGTTGTGGTATGATGCCCAGCCTACTGAGCCATATCAGTCAGAACATGGTGTCTTTTATATGTACATGTGACAAATAGCATTTAGAAGACAGTAATGATTATGTTTTACTTCTGAGATATTTGTTAATTTCATTTCCCAAGAAAAAAATTCCACCCACAGTTATACTATAAAGTCATAATTTCATTTTCCACATTTGTTAAAGATAACTACAAAGTAATATTCCTTATTCAATTTCTTAAAACCATAAAATACATGGATAAAGTAGTAAAGAAATTATTATATATTTCATCTGGGAAGGCTGGGCTGGCATCTTACAATAACTCAAAACCACATGAAGAATTATATAGAAAATGGTAGCCTTATACAGATGTGTTTCCTGTGTGAATCAAAGAATTGAATTGTGTGCAATCTTTGTCATCTAATGTAGTAACTAACTAGTGCTGAGGGAATTCACCAATGGGAGTGTTCCAACAAAAGGAAAAGAAGAAAAATATAAGGCAGGGAACTATTCATTTACAAAACTGCAAAACATTAGGAAAATGTAGATACACTAGTTCTTCCTTATCCGTGGGTCATATGTTCCAAGACACCTAGTGGATGATTGAATTTGTGAATAGTATAGAATCCATTATAACACTGTGTTTTTTTCCTATAGATACATACCTATGATAAAGTTTAATTTATAAATTAGGTACAGTAAGAGATTAACAAAAGTAATAAA